CCCCCCCCCCAATCCAAAACTTCTCCTAGGACCCTGGTTCTTAGAAATGCACACATGCCATGAGGCACAGTTCCTCCCTGCTCTCTGGAGGTTGTTGTATGCTGCTAGTTTATGCCAATAATAAATTAATAATCCCCTCTCCAACGTGCAGTCTCAGCTGCTCTGGCCAGTAACTACGATCTGTTTCAGTAAAAGCATAACCAGTTTCTCAGCTCACCCCACAAACTCCTCTACACTCTGAACCAAAGCACGGCGGGTGGCCATCAAAGCAGAGCAAAGGGAGCTCTTAGCCCCTTGTGCAGGCGTGTCGGCCACTCGGCGGTCCTGCCCTAAATGACAAACAGATTTATAAATCCAGATCAACCCATGGAGTGAACTGGCCCAGGGGAGTGCTCACTTCGAGCAAATCCGGCTCATCCTCCGACCCCCGAGCGCTTCCTCGGAAGCTCCTGCTGCACGAAGCTTCATTTGCAATCGCTACGTGCTGTGTACTTTAAAAAAAGTTTGATAATTACTTGCTGTTCCAGCTGCTGAGCAGTTCTAAGTGCTAGATATTAAGAAACTGCTGTTTCAGTCACTGAACAAACTCTGAACATTAAACGTGTTTCAAGAAGAAGGTTTTTTTCTCAACCATTACACATCTCTGAGGGCATTTTTTTTTTCAAGCGGCTGCTTTCCCAGCTGTTGATCATCATCTCTCAATCCCCCCTCCATGGAAGAGGGGAGAGGAAACCAGTGATGGCATGACATGGTAGGAGAGGTTCAGACAAGCTTCCTGTGCATCATGCAGGTCATCCCAGCCAAGTCCAGTAAGGCCATTATACCGTGTAAAATTTGCGAATTTGATCATTGTGGGGGAAGTGGTCGACATGGGTCCGACAGGTTTGTTTTAAAGGTGGTGGTTGCTTGGGTGGAGCATTACTCCAACATTACTCCAGCTGTTTCCAATACCAGGGCTAGCTTGGATCTCTGTGCATGGTGCTGCAATCAGGAAAGGCTGGGCACAGCTCTGGGGCCCATCAGAAGCTGGCAACTGTAGGTGTCTGGACAGCAGCTGTATGGGACAGTGTTTCGGGAAGCAGAGCTCTGGCTGGAATTGAACCAGAGCTCATTTCCACTTCAAAATCCCTAGTCACATCATTGGGATGGCTGGGCCTTTGTTGCTGTTATAATACAGCACGTTTTACATCTGCTCACAGGCTGTTTAGGAAAGTGTTCGGCCTCTCCATCAGGGAAGCTTTCCCGTCATATATTATCGCTCTGAGCAGGTCAGATGTGCTGGAATTTATTCTATATTTAAAATACCTGAAAGCACTGAGCCAGACAGTCGTAAGTAAAAATATTGGACGCTGTTCGTTTCTTAGCATCAGGTGTAGGAATGGTAAAAATAATAGCTTTTCCAGGTACTATTAATCTAAGGCGTAATGGTGTCTTCACCGTCGCTCAGATGATATAGGTGTCTCTGGATATAAACGTGCCTTTACATAAATTGCAAAGTTCAATCCAATACGTATTCATTTTGGGTATTCCAGAAATACGTAAACCACAGCTATCACAGATGCCTTATATTTACAAGCGATAAGATTTATTTAGTATGAGCTGTTCAAGTGGGAAAGGGCCGATTTTGAGAGGGAAATTTTTAAGCCAATACATCTATCCCGTTAGCACACCAAATCAGTGTTTAAATGCATGAAAAAAAGTGTGCTATCATCACACAAGCGGTAGAGTGTCTCTTTTTAAGACGGGCAGAATAGTGCAAGAAAAAGACTTTTAAATATTTCCTGGTATTCAGACTTTTCCGAGTAAGCCTTCCAAAGGGAAAATCCATCATTGAACCAATAATTATGATGGAAAAGGTTTTCCTCTAAAAATATTCATGCAAGCTATGGCACAGAGAACAGCTTAAAAGAATAAACCATGGTAGTTACTGCCCAAGAGCTGCGAGGGAAAGGTAACAGTTGGGGAATCTAAAAGCTGGGCACGTGATTAATTGTTCCTGGACTTTTGCTGACCCTCAGAAATGGGACATTATGGTACAAAATGAAGCGGGTTGGATTCAAGGTGTCATGGAGGCAAAGTCCTCCAAAGATTGGAGTGGGGAGCAAGGTTGAGGTGTTCTTTGAGTACAGGGGCTTGGGTTTCTTTGTTATGGAGCCGTAAGGGGAAATGGGATTATTATGGAGTAATATACGCTATAGTATCAGGTTTTACTGTTATGATGGAAAAGCTTATAGGAAGTGCTGTAAGAATTAGTATACGGTTAATGACGCAAAGAAATTGTTTCGCTTTTCTGCAGTGTCCTTAACCTCCGAAACTGCTCCCTTAACTCCCCAGTCATCTGAGAGGCACTTTGCATCGTCTTTGCTTTTGATGTGCGGCGAGACTTTCATTCAGGATGGGGGTTATGTCTCTGGCGGTCTGTTCTTCACTGATTTCCATATTACATTTTTCCCTGCGTATGTACAGTTTGTGTGTCTTTCAATCTGATTTCACCAAGGCTGGCTTTTCACTTTCTAGAAGGTACCTCTAAGGCTTGAATAACCTTTTGAACCTTGCTATTTAAACATGTTGGGTTTTCCCCTCCTTGTCTTAAATAGCCTCCATGCTGTATCTGTGGATTTTAATTAAATAGGCTTTCATTGTGAATGGTTCGTGCAGCTATAATGAACCTTCACCCTTAGCTAGACAATAGAGTTGGGGTTCAGAGTGGCACCAGTTTCAGACGGTTGTATCTGCATCCGTTGCACTGAATTGAGCCTTAATTTCTGAAAGGGGAAACAGAGTCATTGTGATGATCTACTGACACTTGTGAAACAAATCAGGAAACTATGTCATTGAGTTAAAAGATTTCCTTGCATCATATGCCCTCCTCTGGGATTGAAGCAACATAAGGAGCTGGCATCTCAGCAGTCTGAACCGCGGTGGGAAGCAGCATCAGCCCATTTTGAGTCACCCTTGTTTGTATGCTCTGAAGTAGTCGTGGATTGGGAAAGGCTTTGTTCTATATCTGCATATAAATAACTGCATTTTCCAGCCGGTTACATGCTGCGCTTCGGCTGCCCTCCTCGGCGAATATCACAGCTCTTCCTTTTTCCTTCTCTCCCTTTTCCAGAAGTAACAGTTTGTTCAACGAGGTCGTGCAGATGAACTTTGAGATAGCCAGCTTCAGCAGCCTCTCGGGAACCCAGCCGATCACCTGGCAGGTGGAATACCCGCGGAAGGGAATGACAGACGTCGCCCTGTCCGAAATCTTCATCTGCCAGAAGGACCTTGTAGGAATCGTTCCACTGGCAATGGTAAGCCTAGTGCTGCACCCTCGGGCGCAGAGCAACCTTGCAGACAGAGCTGAAAAGGGGCAACCGCCTTTTTTCCGTGCCTAGGAGCACTTGCCCAAATCACGTCCATATTTCATGGTGGGTGCAACCTGTGCAGTTCAGACTGGTTTATAAACACGCGAACGCACGAATAAACGGGATGCTATCCCCTTAAACACCCAGCCCTTCGTCCTTAAAACCTGGAGGTCCTTTAAGGATCACTTGTGGTTCCCTCCAGGCCTTTCCCTTTTTCATTTCACCTGCCCTTCCCTTTTCTAATTTTCTCATTAAGTTCATGCTAATGGGCTTGATCTGGCAAGGCCCTGAGCATCGCTTGGGGGCCAGCCAGTCCTTCCACAGATGAAGCCAATACCAGTTACCTGGCTGCCACCCGGCTAACATAAAGAACTTGAGGTGTAGGAAGAGAATAGAGTGGGAGTGTCTTTAAAGGAAAGAAAAAGCCCTTTGGCCTCCGGGTTTGAACACTAGGGGGAAAAATCTGGTTTGAATAAATTGAATATCACATATTTTCAGAAGAACAGTTTCCTTGGATGGGGAGGAGGGTGGGCACATACCCTGACTCCTGATGATGTCCCCCCAGCCCCCGAAGACAATAATGAAAGCAGCCCCAGTGATCTGGGGCCAGAATGAAAGGAATCATTTAGATCTCAGTACTGAAATATCCTTTGGGCTAGATTTTGAAGAGGGGGAACTAGACCATTGGAGTCCACTGTTACATGCCATGCTGCCCAGTGAGATTATAAGCCTTAAGGGTAGAGTATGGCTACACTGATATTTTGGGTCAACCTTCAGGTTACTGTCAACCTGCCCAAGTCACCTTCCCCACCTGTAACAACATGTATAGGCTGCACAGCAGCTGTTCACATTGTCCTGCCTACGTGCACTTCCAAAACCAAGGCTTGACTCTCAGTCTTGGTTTGTTTCCACTTCAGGGCAGCAAGGATGGGACGTGGGCGTGCAGGAAGGCTAGAAGTCAGGAAGAAGGAAGAATTCGGGCCAAAATGGTGTCTACGCTACATATTGCAGAACTAGACAGAGATGCCGCAGCTAGCTGTAGCCAAGTTAGCTCAGGTATCGGAAGCAATCTCACCGCATTGGCACAGTATTCTTTCCAGGCTAATTTGCTCTGCTGAGTAACAGGGTGAATTAGGCTAAATGAAGCACTATGCTAGTATGGCTACACTTCCAGTCCCCAGGCTACCTCATTCAGAGCTGGCCGGAGGATTTGGCCTAGCTTTGCACTGTACAGTGCAAACCTACTCAAAGGCCCTTAGGGATGCTAGGGGCCTACAGGATGAGTTTTGTGGATGCCACTCATGCCTAAGTGTTGGGTTTGGGCACCTAGAAGGGCAGTTAGATGCCTCAGTCAGTTTTTTAACCCAGTCTCTTCTAGTCGTGGTTGTGGTTCGTGGCATCCTGACTTTTCCTTGTTGTTATATGGTTTTCCTTAACTCTGTTTTTACTATCCTGAACGTGGAAGAACTCTTTTCTGAGATCAGTATGGAAGTACTCAACTTCAATATGCAGCTCCCTCTACATGGTCCCACTTTAATTGGAGATTTATGCATTTAGAGCCTGCTCCAAAGTTTATTGAAGTCACTGGAGGGCTGCATAGTACAGTACTGGTCTGAGAGAGAAAGGATGCCTTCTATGACCTGTAGAGTTGAATAGGTCAATACAATTTATGGCCTCTGTTCTGTTAGGTTTAAGAACACGCTTAAGACAGTATCTTCAGGTTCAGATTTTGGCCTTACATAGATGCAGACAGTGGCTTCCAGTAGGGGTGCTTTGTGTGTCTGTCTTCAGACAGAATTTAAGAATTCATTGACGTCTCCTTTGTCTAGCATACCCAGAGTACAATTTAATCTTGCAAGCTTTATCAGTCACAATGCTTTCTCACTTTTGTGCATGGTACAGATTGATGTGCACTGATCTCTTAGAAACGTGGGCTTCACGTTGGTTTCTTTAGGGGAAAGAGCCCCAAGTCAAGAGCTTTTGGATTGCACCAGAAAATGGTGGATGCCATCCTGGATGCTCACTGGCTCCATTTAGCAGTACAACAGATGCGAATTTTTCAAAGAACAAAATTATATCTTCAAGCCCTCTTTGCAGAGCTTTTCTCTGTCTACAGGTTTGTTTCCTGGCCATACTTTGTGAGAAAACTTGGCAGTTGCCATAATACTTTGTACTAATAAAATCCAGTTGGATGAGATGTCAATACAAAATTGGCTTTGCTGGCGGGATATTAGTGGCTAAAGGGAAGGTTCACAGTTTGGTATTAGCTAACACTGCAGATCCAACTAGGGCTCTGTCCTCATTTTTAACATTAACCTCCAGCTGAACTGATTACCTGGAAATGCTCTTGTTCAGAAGCAGAGAGGCACTGAAAAGGAGCATGATGCTTTGTCCACTGGGATGCTAAACCTCATGGTTTCTCATGGCTATAGACTATTAAGCAAATGGTCATAGTGCATAAAAATTAGTCCCCAATGTTTTACAGCAGGGATGTTTCTTAACTAGCTTGGAGGATCAAATATGAATATTAGTCTAGAGTGCTTTAAACACAAAGTATTCCCATGTGGCAAAAGTGCTTCTCTGAAAAGCAGAGATACCTACCTCTTTGTTATAAGGAGAAAACTTGGCCATTACAAAAGCAGTGAGCAAGCTGACATCCTGTGGTTCCTGTGCCAGACCAGGACTTAGGGCCCCTGGCTTGGCCCTGCTGGTTGTGGGCACATCACATCAGCCCTCTATTTTCTCTTCTCTTATTGTGTATTGAGATGATGAAGACAGGGTTTGTATTCATGCAGTATCTGAAGCAGAGGTGCCACAAGTAATACTTGCATGAAGAAAACTATGGTTCCTCCTTCAATAGCATCCGACAAAGTAGTTTGTTGCCTACAAAAAGTGATGCCTTTGAACTTGTTAGTCTGTAAGAGGGCGTATACACGAACAGACTCGATAAATCTGCTGGAGCGTGGTAATTCCCGTGCTCCAGCATCTCATGTATCAGTGTCCCCAGGCTTAAAAACGGTGGTTGGGGTGCTTTATCGAGCTTGCTTAATGAACTTTAGTTAAAGGGCCCCCGCTGCCATTTTTAAGCATGGGGATGCTGATACATGAGACACTCCAAGCGGCTCTCAGAGTATATGTAAGCACATATATAAATATCCTAATAAGTCAACCTGCCCTACCTACTACCAGGTATAAAAGTAATGCAAATAGTTAACTTCTCTAATACCTAGTAGGAGTGAGATAATGTGAAATACATCCATGTGCTAAAAAGGGGTGCCCGGCGAGATTTGTGCTTGAGCTCTATGGAGCTGATTTTGATGGACTAGGATGATGACAACATCAGAAACAGAGGCTTCTGAAAAGGAGGAAGGACAAATACTTTCCAGCAACAAACTTTTTCTTGGTATAATTGGACCCAACAAACTTTGTCTTGATATAATTATAATCCAAAAAGTATCGAATTGAAAGAGCCCACTGTACAAGTGGAGTGTCTCTCATGTGAGCCATTCATATCTGAAAACTTATAAAGCGGGAAAGATCACACATTTTTTTATTACCTTCTATCTGACTGCCTTAGAAATAGGAGAGAGGTAAGGAAATGAAGAAAAAGCAGTCGGCTTTGTAAGGATTAGTGCTTTTGCAGCTACACTATATTGGAACAGAAGAGATTAAAGAATTGACATTGTCAGGAAGAAATGAACCTAGAATATCAACCTCGCCGTGTAGGACGGGGATCGGTGGAGCAGGTGGTTGGATACAGCTGCGGAAAAATCAATTTGATTTCACTGAACAGTCAACAGGGAAACTAGCTGTAGTACTTAAGACACTCTGGGCCTGGCTACCTAACCCAAATAGTGCAGACAAATAGTAAATAGCAACACTGTGAAGCTGGTTATGGAAATGAGAAATGGAACAGAAAAAACTACTGAGCTGGATGTCACTGAAATGAATTTGTCCCCGCGGTACCAGTGTCTAACAAAGTAGCAAAGCAGTGAGATGTACAGTATGACATAAATGCCGAATCTTGCATTAGGGAGTTAATTAATAGCTCTGGGCCATTCTGAAGGACGCCGTGTCCTTGAAGTTATTAAAAGAGAAAATGAATGAGCTGGGATTACCCTCAGCTGTTACCATAATGTACCACAGGGTTATACTGTTGTGGATGAGGAGCAGGGAGGGTTGAGAGCCATTCCCGACAAGCTGCAGAAGCCCTGGTACCTCGCATCCCGATTTTAACCCGATTCTTTTAGGCCAGATTGACTTCCACCTGTTGGGCACATAAGTGAACTTAGCGCCTAAGTGCAACGCTGTTCCACCCCTGCGTGAATTCTTGAAAAGTAAGTAATGCAAAAGGTGGGTGGGTCCTCCTCCTCTTCAAAGCTTTCTTGTGACTCAGTCTTAAGGGTGAGATGATGGCATGTTACAAAAGCAGATGCATCAATGAATGTTGTGGACTTGAGCGGGATTGAACTGCATGCAGGCACTTACATCCATTTCGATGTTCAGTAGGTGGAACAGAATCTGGCCCTTGGCTTGTTTTTTGCAGTTTGGGGAAGAATAAAAGACAGTCCAGAATGAGCCCATTACAGTGCTTTTCACCCATAGTTCTTAAGTGCTTTTAAACAGAGGCTGGTATCAGAAGTCCCATTTTACAGATGAGGAAGGTGAGGCACAGAGCAGTGAGATGATTTGATCAAGCTCACCCACCAATTCTGGACAGATGCTCCCCCATCTGGAACCCTGCTCATGGTTATACAGATCTGATTCTGGATTATCTCCACCAATTTCCCTGGAGTTTCCCTAGGCAAAAAAGTGCTGAGACAGAAGCGCATCTCTCAGTACTGAGTGGTAAATCTTGTCGGACGTTTTTAATTTGGAAAAAAAAAATCTGAGGAATCTGGTTTTTTTCTCTTTTCTTTTCCATTTGCTTAAAAGGTACTTGGTCT